ACTCAATACTACTTCTGACTGCAGATCAATTACTCACTGTCTCCCCACACATTACATTCCCCTCTTTTATATACCAGCCTACCCTATCTAGCAAATACTAGACCATTCGCCAGGATAGTTCTAGAAACAAGAGAGTGTGAGAATTGTCACGTGATCTCGATGACGCAACAGTATTAACCACTGTATTTAAGGCTTTTCTTTTGGCAATTGTGACAAATATTTGTGCCAGATGGTTTTCATACATCATGTGATGTACAAAACACGTCATTCTTTTATTAAGAAAGAGAACCTGACTTCAGTATCCTAGCGTACTTAGTAATCAATAGTTTCGTAAAGTTGTTCTTGTTTGTATACTTTGAGTGCGTGTTGTAATTATATTATAGTTGATAGTGGAGTATAATTATGAAGCTGAAGATCAAAGTAACATATTGGTAAAATTTTCTATTCAGCTTTAAAGTTAATGTTGCTACTTTATTATTTATACTTGTCAAATTGATGTAAATGTAAGCTATGGTATTGGTAATTTGATACACACTGTGTTAATGTGTAGGAAAAATTAACCCAAAAAACAGTACAAGAACAACTACACATTAGGTTTAATTTGAGTGTTACTAGTATTTAGTAATACTAATAGTATAAGTTATGCTTCAGTACTGATTTATCCACTTCTATAATTCAACCTTTTTTTTTTTTAACAGGAGATGTTTCTATAAACTTTTTACCTTTATCATTTTAATTTTTATGGGCTGTGGCATATTTTTATGCTGGAACAATAAATGTAAAAATTATGGGTAGGGACTGGCTTCTTTGCAGTCCGACTCCAAGGGCTATTATTAGCAGTAATAGTTGCAGTAATGGAGAATTTTGATATTATGAGAATAAGTGGAACTTTGTTAAATGTGTACAAATTTCATGAGTGAAAGTTCTCTGAAATACAGGATTATAGGTTATTTAATAAGAAAAGAGTATTTAAAAAAGAGAGGGGAGGAGTGGCTGTGTATGTAAAATGCCAGTTACATCATCATCATGTTTGAGGCTGAAACTATTTGCTTTCTGTTAATGAATATAGGGTTGTTAGTTGGATTTGTTACAGTCCACTAGATGAAGCAAATGAGAAACTATAGTGAGATAAATAATATGGCTCTTTTAATCATATTATAATTATGGGGGATTTTAATATTGGCCATAAAGATTAGGATATGTTAAGAGTCAAACCACGAAAGAAACAGGTTTTAGAAATAACTCAGGATGTGTTTCTTCAACAGTTGGCTAGAGAACCTACAAGGTACAATGTTATTTTAAATTTATTGTTATCTTCTAATATAGAAATGTTTGAGAGGGTGGAGATTTGGGTACATCTGGGTGCAAGTGAAAATTGCTAAATTAGGTTTGATGTTTACTGCAAAAAAGATGAGAAATAATATTTTGATTTCACAAAAGCAATTTTTTAATTAATGTGGCAGGAATTATCTGCAGTGAATTGGGCAACTGAATTAATTGGAGATACTGATTAAATGTGGAAAAAAAATTTAAATACATTTTTTTAATGTTGAAAATAGATATGTTTCTTATAGAAGAAAAGTGTGGCTTTCAATGAAAAACAAAATTGGCTCAAAAAATGTATAAAGGATAAAATTGAAGAAAAGAATTATAAATATGAAAAGTTTAAATTTATTGCAATGATGGGATATTTTGATGCATATTGAAGTATTTTATTAGGGTTACAAGGTTCATGCAATGTCTGATTACCAGGTAAAACAATTTTATTTGCATTATTTCAGTTAGACATTTGCATGGTGTGAAAGGTCAATTTACAAGTATGATTATTGATTATTTACTACATAATTAAAATTGCAGTGTAAATCTAATAATTTTTTACTGTGGAGTATATTGATGGGTATTTTTTTATATTTAAAATTCAATGAAACCTCCTACTTGGAGGATCATAGAAGGTTAAGAAAGTTGATCAAATGGGTAATTAGGAAATTGAAAAGGCTATATGAAAAAAGGTTGGCTGAAAATGTAATACATAATAGGTTTACTTTAAATACATTAAGGGTAAGCAAAATGTCAGCATGGGAATGGGGCCTTTGAGGGATCATATAAGAAAGTTAATATCTGATGATTATGGGATGGTTGGTTTTTCAATTTTTACTAATGAACATCAGGAACAGTTGCTAGATGGAAATAAGATGACCACATTAATTCTGAGCTTGTTAATAAAAGAAAACTAGAAAGTTTAAAGAATGATAAAATTTCTGGGCCGTATACTATTTACCCAATGGTTTTGAAGGATTGCATTTTTGAGCCTCTTGCTACTATTTTTTTATTTTTTTTTGCAAGTCCTTGAATAGTGGACAGGTGCTTGAAAATTGAATGTTGGCTAGTGTTACTTCTCTTTTTAAGGTAACTGATAAAAAATAATTCCAATAATTATAGGCCTATTAGTATTCTATCAGTGATGGGAAAAAATGTTTGGAAGTCTAGTAAAAATAACTTGCAATGTTATTTAACAAAGTTTAAAATTCTGTTGGATAGTCAATGTGGTTTCACTAGGGGAAAGTCTTGTCTTCCTAATCTTTTTATATTCTCTGAAGAGGCTACTGCTTATGTAAATGAAGGTATGGTGTGGATTTGGTGTATCTGGATTTTGATAAAGCATTTGTCCAGGTTTTCTGTAAAAGGCTTTTTGAAAAAGGAATCTCTATAGCTGTTGTGGATAAGTTGGCTCATTGGATTGAAAAATGGCTAGACAAAAGAAGGTAGAGGGTTGTTATAAATGGAAATCAGTGCGGTGAATTAATGTAACAAGTGGAGTACTTCAAGGCTCTGTGTTAGGACCTTTGCTTTTTTAGTTTTACGTCAATGACAGATGAAGGAATGATTAATAGATTATTTAAATTTACTGATGATGTTAAATTTTTGAGTGTTGGTGGCTGTGAGGAGGATGCTACTGCTTTATAAAAGGATTTATATTACTTGATGAGTTGGGAAAATAACTGACAGATTTCTTTTAATTATAATAAATGCAAGGTAATGCATTTGAAGCATCATTTGAATTATCAGTAGAATTTTAATGGGAATAACCTTAACAGTGTTATGGGGGGAAAAAAGATCTTGGTATTCTTGTTGTTCAGTCTCTTAATCTATCTAGGCAGTGTGCTGTTACTAGTGGCAGGGCAAATAGAATTTTACATTGTATCTAGTGAAATATGGAATGCAAGTCTAAAGAGGTTATAATGTCATTGTATAAGCCATATTTGAAGTACTGTGTTTAGTCTTAGGCTCCTCACTTTAAGAAGGACATTGAATTGTGGGAATGGGTTCAGAGGAGGACTACTAGGATGATACCTTGGATGGAAATGGTATGGTATGAATTCTTTGATAGATAGCTAAGGTAGAGTATTCATGATGAAATTTAGTTGAATGAACAGTAACTGCCTCTTGCAGAAGCACAAGTGTAGAGGATGATGTTTCAAAAGTATTTTGCCCGAAGATGAAAGACTTTTGAAACGTTGTCCTCTACATATGTGTTTCTACAATGGGCAGTTGCTGTCCATTAAACTAAATTTCGCCTCTGAAATTGTTTTCTCTTTAAAAAACATGAGAGGGGATCTGATGAAGGTGTTTAAGATTAAGGGAATTGATAGTGTTGATGCATTACATTTTTTAATATTTAATGGTGAAAATGGTAAGACTAGGGGACAAGTATAAATTTAGGTTGGGAAGAAGTCATTTTCAGCTAAGACAACTTTATTTTTCTAACAGTGATTGGCCTCTGGAATGGGTTGACTTTGGTTGTGGTGAATGCAGTTAATTTAAGAATATTTGAATGATAAGGGCTGGCCATAGAGATTTTGTTTTTTTTAATTAGCTCTATTTCTGTTTTTTGAAGACCCTACCTGTGGGTTCTCAACTATATTATGTGTGTGTATTCAAATAATGATAATTTTAGTGCATTTCCTTGTATTTACTGTAATTAAAGGTCTTTTGTCAAACATATGTCCGATTTACTAAATCTATAAATTCAGACTGGATATGTTGTTTAGTACTGATTGTGCAAATTATGTGAATTATGTGGAAAATGTTAGGTACATTGTTAAACTCTAGGCTCTGAATACTGTGAATAACCCTACTAATTAGTGCTGTGGTCACAAGTGTATTTTATATAAGAAATGTCTGATTTCACCCAGTGTTTTAGGTAAGTTTTTAGAATTTTATTACATATCAAAAAGATTACCTTCTGCAATATGGACACCCACTGCTATTCAGTGGTATAAAAACATTTTATCATTTCATCAGTGTTGGAAATCTTTAACGCAATTGTAATAAAAATGTATTTTTTTGTTTCAGTGGTGCCTGAGGGTACGAGCCCAAGGTAAGCTAATAGTTTCCATGTTAGTGTCTTTAGTCAAGTTGGTAGTTCCTTATTAATTAATGTCATCAGGCAAGGAAAGTGGGTAGTTTCCATATTGATTAATGTCATCAGGAAAAAAGTAGGTAATTTCCATATGAGCATCATTTGCCAAGAAAAACTGCTAACTTCATTAGGCAAGAAAAGCTAGTGCTTGTTATTGGTACAAACATAATGTTATATATATAGTTTTAAATTTTTCATTTGTAAAGTTGAGATCCACATCTAATGAGCAGTTTTTCTGTGTAACAAATCTTGAATTTTGTTTTTTATCTTCTGACAAAATAATTGATTTTGTTGAATTAATTTAAATCCATTTAACTTTGCACATCTTTTCTTCATTTGTTACATAGTAATATGAGAATAGATTATATAATACTCAGCATGTAGAGTTCTTGTTGTTTTTAAACCTGAATTTGACAATCTGACAGTTCCTTCTCTTATTATTTTTACTAAACTTGTAAATATTTATTCATCTTCAGTGCACTCAGAAGTCTGCATTGTGTACATAGTATGGGCTAACTTGTAGTAAATCTTATCACTATTTGTTGCTTTTCCTTCACTGTCAATGTATTATAAAGATTTTGGTGAGGAAAGCAGTATTATAAAATAACTTTTTTTTTGGGGGGGGGGGTCATTTAGAAAAACTTTAAAACAAAAACTAAGATTTTGTATACTATTATAATCTGCAGTGTACTAAATAATCCATGTTTACTTAATGTAAGTAAACTAAATGTGTACTTAAATCCTTTTTGGTTTGTTGTTTAGAAAATAGCAGATACAATGTTTACCTAATGCACAAAACCATGCATCAAAAGGAGCCATACTCAGAAAATATATGCTGATCAGTCAGTCCTTATAACACAAATCACATTTTTCTATACATTTAGTATCACTTGTGCTTCAAAAATGTTAATATATATAGATACTAGCTCAATATATAGAATAGTATAAACAGTTTACTGACACAAAAGTTGATCATTTGTTTCACTTCTGTCTTAGATCTGGCATGGTGGGTTTTATTCAACATTGTAACATTAACAGTTTGGTATTTTTAGTTATTATTAAAGTATTAGTATTTATTGTTAACTTGCTAATATACTTCTACTTATAGTTCCAGAAACTTCAAAAGGAACTTGAGCAGAAATTTCCTGGAAAGTTAGACATTGTAAGTTACTACTTCATGCATTTGTGATTTGCAAAAAGGTTGTAAACTTGATTTTAAACCATTGACATTGGATAAGATACTCTTATTATTTAATATTTTATAATTTTTATTTAAATATATATAGTATTTTCATGAAGCCCGATGCTACACAGTGGGCTGTCTATGCTCTCTTGAACTTAAGTATCAAAACCCAATTTGTAGGAGAGGGTGGGTGGGTATATAGTATTTTAAAACTGTAATTTTAATGAAATTATCCTGCTATGAGATTAACCATTTCCAGACAGGTCACGGGTGAAAGGCCATGCCATCTCATTTGTTGACTCGCATTCAAAATTTCATTGAACTACTATTTCATGAATTTATGTCAATAAGTTTGGT